TGATGAATGATAGAATAGAATCTACACATACATTTATAGAGTTACTTATTTTAAAATTGATTACTTCCTTCCTTTCCTTGGAAGATTCACTCGTCCTTGTTTTTTCTATCAAGATGGAGTAGTAGAAAGCCAAAAACTTTCTTTCCCAAAAATTAATCACTCCTAAAAATATAACCCTTTCAAATCATCCCCATATTATATCATATTGTTTTATAGAACATATTATTTCAAGTGCAAGTCTGACTGGTCTGATGATCAACATGGTCGAAAATTACTAAAATACTAGAAGAAGCACTGCGGTTTCAGATGTCCTAAATCTACTACTACAGTACTAAAACGGCAACGCTGGTAATAACTGATATATTTCGAACACTTTTAGACTTCTTATAGGTCACTTGGGATGCTTTTTTCCTTCTGCCCTTAACAAGAATTTTTAAATCATGTCTGATATCTGGAATATTTCTAGATATTTGGAAATTACTTAAAGTATGTCCTGTATACAAAAGTGGTGAAGAAGCAATAAAGGGGCAGACCCATATCTGTTTCATTTCATATATTTCATATACATTTCATTTCATATACATAAAGTCCGCATCAAATGGGATTTTTTTTTGTTTATCATTTCAAGCAACTTTTGATATCTCCATCAGGTTGTGCTTTAAAAATGATGCCAAATGACATGCATATGACCGATCAAGTGATTTTTCTTCTCTGTCATTTGCCGATTTCTCAAATTTAGCCAAACCTCGACAAAGTTAGTGCTTTATGCCTAACTTATCTTTCCAATGCATTTTTATTACCAATTGCAATTCTAAATACAACTTATTTCGCAAAAAAAACACCAGAAAAAATTATGTCAAAAATGATGCAAAGTTGATACAGTTTTTAAAAACAGATAAATATTTCACTTTATTTCTACTTTTTGCGAAATAGCTTGATACATAAGCATAATTAAAAAACAATATCAATGAAAAGTCAATAATTTATTCTTTACTGCACTTTTCAAACAGTTAAACTTTGATTCACTGATTACTTATACAATTCGTGTCCTATGACTGTTATAAATCTACAGCATATCTAGCTTCTTCCGGTGTGCCTCAGGGCTCCAACGTAGGTCCTCTTTTGTTTTTAGTATTCATTAATGATTGTTAGCGGTTATGTTTTGCTAATAGGTTATTTTTGTGATGCTCTGTTCGGAACCTTTGGTGTAGTAATGAATATAACTGGAGTTTTTTCTCGACACCAAACCGTTATTTCAAACACCTCGACACGTGTTTCAGTCACCAAGTGATCATCTTCAAGAGGAATATTAAAGTGAATCTATATACAAATTTGTCCCTATTTATATATAAGGACAACTCAGTATGTAGATTTAGTTCAATATTCCTCTTAAAGATCATCACTTGGTGATTAAAACACGTGTCGAGGTGTTGAAAAATAACGATTCGGAGTTGGGGTACAACTCTAGTATAGGTTATAGTCGAAAAAAGTAGGTTCAAACCTTTTTGTGTGTAATTCAAGACTCAGACCTACTGAGATGCAATGATATCAAAGACCTAGAGGTAATATTTGACCAAAAATTAAGATTTGGAAGACATACTCCATGGAAAGTTTCTGAGTCCTTGACGGCTCATGGTTTTATTGTTATAAATGTAATCGTTTTAGGAATCACACGTTAAAAGGTAATACCTCGTTAGTCCTTAGCTCGCATAAGTTTGCCAACTTCTGAGAACTGTTGTTCGTATGGAGGATACAGCTGATTAAAGGAAAAATAGATAGATACATCGAAATTGCAGAAACCTTCATAATATTAAAGCTATGAAGCAGTTATATTACATATGTGTGATTGATGACTTGTTTATTTTGTGGTAATTGATGATCACTTTAATGAAATGAATAAAAACACTTTTGTCTAATTACCACTAGTTGATTTTATTTATACGACCGGTTTCGGGTTTGGTCCCATTATCAAGTATATATTATCAAGTTTTATACTTGATCATGGGGTAAACCCGAAATTGTTTTTTTTTCATTCATTTCTCTTTGTTTGAATTTCAGCATTATAAATATAATTTTGTATTGTCCTATAAATAGGTAACTGTTGGACAATAAAGCTATTGTTATTATTATCATTATTATCCTATAACCGTTATTTCTAATGTCCGACATATTTTCTTGAAATACGTGAACTGAACTCTAGGCCAATTAGAGACAAGAATACGAGATTTGGTTGTATTCTAAAAATTGTCATTCAGATTCATAATTGTGACTGCATGTTTTTATGAAAACTGAGAACTGCTTATTATTACTCACAGTGCTCATAATGTTTATATTTTTGACAAAGTTTTGATTCCAGTTTTCACGTATTCGTCTGTTGCTTATGTTGTTTTTATAGTCGGGTATGAAAAAAACTGTAAACTGATATCATTATTTTCTATTCTTTCCACAGTTTTCCGTGCTATATTCTGACTATTTTCAATGTGAACTAGTGTTTTCTTAATTTTTTCAAGACTTGATTGTTTCGATCAAAGAAAAATTGTACAACAATCAATAGTATTCGAATATTGTACGACTCAATACATTTAGAGATTACGATAAAATTATTAGTTTGAGGGTGGTTGATATGATTTGAAATCTCTGAAATAACAAATGAAAATTTAAATGTTGTATTTTTCATAGGCAACTCTGCCTTTCGATATAATATCGATGACTCATGATTATTCTTTTTATTTCCATATTTCATACTCGAATCAGTTTTTGAAAATCCGAAGTAAATAACTTATAATATATTTTTGGAAAATACTTGAGATATCTGATATCTGCTGAACCTATTTTTAAATGTGTTGACTGAGAAAGTATTTTGATGAATAGATATTTTATTGTTGCATATGTTAGGAGCAACCGCACTGTATATCGATAGTTCTCAGCTATGCGTAATGAGGATGATTCATTGAAGCAACTGTTTATGGGGAGGAAGATATCGTTTCATTGTTGAGTAAACTAGAGTAGGATTCATACGTTTGCTGTGGTGATACATTATTTTTGGAGAATTACCCGAAGACAATTGTGGACAATCGTGGACAATCGAAACGTCGTGAACTAACTTGGCTTGGAATTTCCCAATTTAATTGCTCAATTTTCTGGCTCAAATTTGATTTTATTGTAATTTTTTTCAGGTTTTTTTTGCACAGTATAATTGTTAATTTAATATTTTTTTTCATTTGTCATTTCAGATATTTCAAATCATATCATAATACACAATGAAAGTCAGAACCAATGAAATAAAATTATTAGTGTTGATTCAATCAATCATGTCATTGAGTGTTAGGAATCACACATTAAAAGGTAAAACCTCGTTAGTCCTCAGCTCGCACAAGTGTCGACTTCTGAGAGTTGCCGTTCGTAGGGGTGCGACAGCTGTTTAACTGAAAAACAGATTTTGAAACAGATTTTAAAACAGAACAGATTGAGTGAATTGAATGGTAATTATTCGCCTTTTTAGTGTCTTAGTCTTTTGTGACCAGTTCCCGGAGTCTCAATATTGTGGGTATTTCTAAAGAATATCAATCAGGCTCAATCACTTCCTTTATATGTAAACCATTACCTTAACTTTCCACTCCAGATAATCCAGTAGTATACTGGTATCCATAGATATTTCACATTGTTACCGTAATGTTTGAGTTTTTTTTTAAAGAGTTGATAAAGGGACAGCCGGAAAATTCAATGGAAATATATTTTCATTTGTAATTCAAATTGATTGAAATAATTGAGTCATGTAACTACTTGCCTATAAAACGTATTGTAGAATACTTCAATGTAATGATGTACCAGTGTAATGTTCAACTGAGGAAGCTACAATATAGCGAAACGGGTACTTGGTTGAGTTGATAATGTGGAAAATGTTCATTGATTTGGGTAGATAAGCAAAATCCGTAATAAATCTTACTCACAAATAGAATGAATACTTACCGGAATGTTATTCAAAGCAATAATATTTCTGGGCAAATTCAGTGATTTGTCCGACATAATTGATTCATTTCATTTTTTGTTATCATTTTTGGAAAGTCAACACCTGGAAATACCAGAAATAACTGGTGTTATCTCAAATACTTCAAAAAAATTTTATTTGAAAAAAAAGCAAATATCTCAATAGCATTTTTATTAATTCGTCAACAGTAGTTTCAGTGTATAGTATATATTACGTTAACCAAAAATCGGCTTGACAAACAGTAATTATTTTATTTTCGTAGTAATTCACAATATGAACATAATAACAATAAAATACACAATAGAAAAAATATTATTAGAAATGATTTCGTAGTCGTTTCTCAAAAACATGAATCCTAAAAACATCATATTATACTAATTAAAAAAACATTGATAGAAGTTCAAGACAAAACATAAACACAAATAATCGATAACATAAAGATGAAAACAAAAATACCCCTATATTTTTACTGGCTGAATATTAATGAAACAAAACATTCTGTATCGAATGGTAAAGAAGGAAAATCGATCCTAGATTTCAAAATGCAAACAATACTGCAAGAGTATCGAACGCAGCCCAAAAAATATAACTGAAATACGTATTGGATATTCTGGAACATCAGAAAGGCTCTAAAATGGAAGGTAAATCCGTCGCTGCTCACTTCCTACGTTTAAGTTCCGAATTCAGTGAATCCAGTACGATATTTAAACAGTAATTTTATTAAAATACTATTTTTTTCTAGTTATATCTATTCAGTTTTCGATTTGATTGAAATTTCATCTTATTCCATCGATAAGTAAAGAAATATTTTATTTTCGGTTTCATTTTTATTTTTGTGATGAATTATTTAGTTCTGATTGCTTCCTGGACTAAAGGAGTTCCTCCAAATTATGTAGATGGAATATTTTCATAATTTTCTTTTACGTGGAGATTTGAAAATATTATTGTCCCGATCTCTATTTTCATTGGTATCAGTTCCAGGCAATGAGGAATTTCCAGTTTCATTTGAAACTGTTCCATGTGTTGAAATATTCTCCGTTTCATATCTGTTTCGCTTCGGAGGACTTCCAAGCAGGTTTGCTAGAGTAATTTCTTCTCTTTCATTACTATTTCGACCTGCAGCAGTATATGCCGTTTCAAATCGATTTTCTCCAATAGGTGCATCAAGTAGTGCTTCTAATGAGAGAGTATTATACGTACTATAAGTACTGTTTGTTTCATTTCTATTTTGTGATATTCTAGAAGTGCTAGCCGATCTTCCTCGAGGATCTAATACTATTCTATTTCGTGCCACACAAGTTTTATCGAATGAGACTGCTGTAGGAGTCCTACGTGCCCTACGAATTTCACGCAATGATAATGCTGCAGAAATTTCGGGCTGTGATGTAGAGGCATTTTGGAATTCATCACTTGGATTTCTTACCCTATAAGTTTCAGGCAATGATACTTCTGCAGGAGTTTCGGACTGTGATGTAGAGGCATTTTGGAATTCATCACTTAGATTTCTTACCCTATAAGTTTCAGGCAATGATACTTCTGCAGGAGTTTCGGACTGTGATGTAGAGGCATTTTGGAATTCATCACTTGGATTTCTTACCCTATAAGTTTCAGGCAATGATACTGCTGCAGGAGTTCCGGACTGTGATGTAGAGGCATTTCGGAATTCATCACTTAGATTACTTACCTCATAAATTTCAGGTATTAATACTACTGCAAGAGCTTCAGGATGTGATGCAAGGGAATATTGGACGTCATTACTTGAATTCATCGTATACATGTCATCAAATGATATTGCTCCAGGAGTTTCTATTATTGTGCTATTAATTTCCTCCAATGATTCTGCTGCAGGAGCTTCAGGCTGTGATATAGGGACATTTTGGAATTCATCACTCATATTTATTGTCCCATGAATTTCATTAAATAATTCTACAGCAGGAGCTTCAGGCTGTGATGTAGAGGCATTTTGGAATTCATTACTTATATTCATCGTAAAAGTGTCATCAAATGATACTGCTTCAGGAGCTTCCATTATTGTCCTATAAATTTCCTCCAATGATTCTTGAGCTTCAGGCTGTGATGTAGGGGCATTTTGGAGTTCATTACTTATATTTATCGTATAAATGTCATCAAATGATTCTGCTTCAGGAGCTTCTATTATTGTCCTATAAAGTTCCTCCAATGATTCTGCTGCAGGAGCTTCAGGATGTGATGTAGGGGCATTTTGGAACTCATTCATTGTCCTAGAAATTCCATCAAATGATACTATTGCAGGAGCTTCAGGCTGTGATGTAGAGGCATTTTGGAATTCACTACTTATATTTCTTGTCCCATGAGTTTCAACCACTGACACTGATGCAGGAGATTCAAGCTGTGATGTAGAGGCATTTTGTATTTCAATTGCATTTTGTAATAATGCTGAAAAACTTGCTACATGTTGTCTCCTGGAATGCGTTTTTCTGTGTTCTTCAAAGGCTGGGAGTGATCGAAATACTAAGTAGCAAATATAACATGTGTATTTAATATGAGACCTTTCATGTTCCTCCAACAGTTCACGGGTTGGAAACGTTTTATTACAGTACTGGCATTGCATTTTTGTAGAATGTACATTCATATGGCGCATATAGTCTTCAGGAGTTCTGAAGACCAAATGTAAACACAAACGGCAATATATTAAATTTGTTATTGGATGTGTTCTCATGTGGTTTATGAAAAGATCTTCCGCTATTTCCATACTGCATGTTGGGCAGAATAAAAAAAATTCTATTTTTTCCACTTTACCTAAACAGAGCTGCAATAAAAAAGAAATCATTAAAAAATCTTTTCAAATCGTGAAATCTGTTTTAATACATTTTCTGTGATCACAAATATTATTTTAGTAAAAAAAGAAATGATTTAATCAACTTGATGAGAGACTCAACTACTATCTCTTGATATAAATTGAAATTTTTATGTAAAAAAATAGCCTAAAATAGCTTGAATATATTAAAACTGATTCCTGAATCATTTTGTCATATTGTCATATTGTGATTGACATTTTTCACAACAAAAGTCAACATATTTGTCCAAATGGGAGGAAAAAGTGGAAGCTGAAGAAACATCGGAGGAAGAGAGTGGATATTTGCCTTTAAAATATCCTACAAGTGGAAAACTCACTGAAGAAAAATTAAGGAAGTTCTCTGTTCGTTCTCAAGACCGCAAAAGTTCTGGTACATCCAACATATTTTTGTGTGGTAATTGTGATTCTATTGTGATTCTTCCATAGAATACAAAAGCGGATGTAAAAAATGATTTCATTTGAAATGTTCCAAATTAGACTCTAAAAAATTTGAAGTTTTCTAAAGAAATGCAGAAACCAAATGGAAATAGGTGGATTTGTAAAAATAATTCTGAACAACTAGAAACAAACAAAAATGATGAATGCAATGAAGTTTTATAAAATCTAATGAAAACGGTGAGAGAACTACAAGAAACTAATGAATTCATTTTCAGCAAGTACGACGAAGTTAAAAATGAAAATATGGAGATATTAAGTTTATTGAAAGAAATGAGAGTAGAAAGATTACAAATGAATCGTGATAACGGCATGCTCAAGAAAGAAATAAAAAAATGAAATCAGATACAAGTCTAATCAAACAAATCAAACAAAAAAATTTAGAAATCATTGGTTTACCTAAACATGAAAACAAAACTGATTTGGACATAGTACTCGTACATGACATTTTTTAAAAGCTCCAATTGAATAAAGACAAAGTGAAAATTCAACATATAATTAGAATAGTTGAAACAAAACCCAAAAATATCCGGCACACGGTCTGAAAAATTGTCTTAGATACAGAAGAAATGAAAAGAAATATTTTGTATGCTGCTGAAATGTTTTATAGAACAAAAGGAAATTTCACCACTGAAACTTTAGGGATAAGAGGATCTACAAATGTAATTTACATCAATGAAGAACTGACACCAAGGAATAAATATTTATTTGGAAAGTCAAAAAACTGGAGAAATATGGCTTCAAATTTGTTTGGTATGAAAACGGAAGAATCCTTGCCCGAAAAACAGAAAATGATATACCAATTTTGATAAATAATGAAGAATACATCCATAATTTTCAACACTTCCAAAATACAGATCGTGAAATTATAAAACAATAACAAAAATTAATTGGCGCTCCGGGGCGACTTCATCGATTCCAGTGGCGCATTTGCTTTTTCAGCTGCAGGAAAACCCGGACAAATCATAGCTAGATCTACTGGCATTGCAGATTTAGAAACAGTTACCATTGAGACAAAGGTAGTTGATGAAATGAAATATCAGAGTACTGGTTTTAGTCATAATTTTTTAATTTTTCATTTAAATATTAGGAGTTTAGCTAAACATTTCCATGAAGCCATATTATACCTGAATCGATTTAAAAAGGAATTTGATTTGATTATATTCACAGAAACAAAATGTCAACTGTTCATATAATATAGTTGGTGTACTAAATGTAATTACTATTGAAATATTTTTAAATGAATGAAAAAAAATCAATATTATTGCCCTATATAGACCTCCTTCAACATATCAAAGTACTTTCAATTTACAGCTGAAGAAATTTTCAGATGATAATGAGAAATTCAATAAGAAAACCATTATTTTTATCAGTGATTTAAAGATTAATATCCTTTCAGATTCAAAGAATGCCCACGAATACTCTAATATAATGAATGCAAATGGTTTTCTTTCTTTCAATAATTTCACTAGAGAAGTGGATAATCAAAAATCTTGTAGTAACCACATTCATTAGAAGTAAAGAATCACCAAATATGTTCAAACCAATTATTTATAAATGTGATATCACTGATCATTATGCTACAAATCTTCAAATTAACGATATAATACTTACTAAAAATACCAATGAAATGAAATACAATTTTTTTATTGATTATGAAAAGTTATATAAAACCTCCACGAATTTCAAACCCCTAAAATTTATTTCCAATGTACCTTTTTGTCTTATTATTTGTTCACCATTTAAAAATTTCTTTCCGATAGCCTGTTTCATTCTAAACAAAAAATGTCTCTTGGCTTTTTTACCCAAAATAAACCAGTTCACAGCAAAAAATTAGTTTACGAACAACTACAGAGATACATCGTCATAAATGCGAAAATATGAAACTAATCTATCTAGTAAGTCGCTATTAGTGACAATTGAATTGGTATGACGCTGTCAGTTTGTGAATTTTCGAAATTTAATTAATTCTAATTGTGTGTTGTTGTTTTCTTCTTAATTTGTTACATTAATAATTCACTTGTTATTAAAATAGCATACACAAATGAGGAAATGGCTGATATGCATTACGTTTAGGGTCTGTCGCAGGGGAATGGGTTAGAAGCTTCTAGAAGATATGCTGAAATGTATCCTCAACGGCAGCATCCTTCACATAGAATACATATTTGCTCCACTTTATCAACGATTACGAGAATATGGTTCATTCCACAAAAGAACGCAAATACTCAATTTGGATTCAGAAAAAAAAGGTCCACACAAAATGCAATTTTCCACATAGTAAATAATGTATATCAATCATTTGATGATAAAATACCAACTTTATTTGTGTTTCTTGATTTAGCTAAAGCTTTTGATATGGTCAGCCATTCAATGCTTTTGGAAAAATTGCAAGCAATTGGATTTCGTGGAGCTACATTCAATCTAATGGTAACTTATTTGCAAAATAGAAATCAACAAGTTAAAATTAATGATATATACAGTGACAAAAAAAATGTATTTATGGTATTCCTCAAGGTTCTGTTTTGTGTCCGATATTTTTCAATATTTACATCAATGATTTATTTTATATGCAAACTGAAGGAAAAATTCAATCTTTTGCAGATGATACGGTGATTTCATATACTGCTAATAGCTGATGTAATTTAAAAGTAAGTGTGGAAGCAGATTTCAAAAATATCAAGAAATGGTTTGATAGTTATTTATCAACAATAAATTTTGAGAAAGCAAATATTAAACTTTCAGTTCTTGCCAAAATTTTTCACCAAAATTAGGTCCACTAAAAGTTGGTGAGAGTATCGGATTCTTCGGGGCTGACTGTATCAAGTACTTAGGCATAATGATTAACAAACATTTGAGATGGGATCATCAAATCAGTTATTTACTGAAAAAATTGAGGATCCTCCTGCCAAAATTTGAATATTAAAAAAAATTTTCAGTATACACATTTGAATTTACTTTATTTTGAAGTTATTCAAAATACTTTCTAAAAATAATCTATAATAAAAAAGATGATTTTTTCAAGAGACCACCTTCTCAAAATTAGTAGAAAAAATGGATTAATTTCAATTATAATTTTATAATCTTTTGATATATATGCATAAAAATGAATCAAACATTCAATATAATAATAATGAGTATAATACACGAAGTAAATTAACATATTCTTTAAAAAATAGAGTGAAGAAACAGTATCAAAAAAAATTAGATGTATATAATTCCTTATATATTTGATAAACTCTCTCATTATATAAAAAATTCCAAATCTTTTTTTTTCATGTAGAAATAAAATTATTTAATGATGTCGCTCTCCAAAATTTGATTAAAACAAAAAATGTCATTACTGCTTTGGTAGCCAAATTGCCCTCATACAAGAATAATATCGGCAGACGTGAGTTTCGCAATTTCCGTAATTTGTCAGCAGTATCCTTCAACAACGACGACTTGCTTGTTTACTGCCAACATTTGGAGAAACTCCACAGTGATTTCGCAGAACGATCCCAGGACATTTTAAAATTAGAAACAACCGGACTGGGTGCTACAAAAGCCAATCCCGTATTTGTACCCTGGATTGTGGTCCATCGTTCAACGATTTTTTATAGCGGTGACTTACGGCTGTTTTTGAGTAAACTTCATGCTGACAAACTTGTTGAAAATCATCAAATCCATCCTTCACATTAGAATAGTTTTAAAATTTGAATTGAAATGTTTCGATAATATTTATTTCATATACTGCACGTATTTGTTAACAGTTGTCATTAAATTAATTACTTTTTTCTTTCTTTGGAAGTTCCACATATTTCTTGTAAAATGATAGAGTAATAGAAAACCAAAAAACTTTCTTAACCAAATTTTGTCTTTTTTCTGCGAAAAAATATTCCCTTTCAAATAAAGTTCATTATCGAATACTATTAGGTACCAATTTCCTAGAATCAACGCATCATTATTGTTTATAAAAAACATTTTCACAACTAAATAAAGAGGGACATCAAAATATACTTTTCTATTCACGAAATTATTCATTTAGTATCTCCGCATCGCACTGTATATATGATTGGAACCTTCATTTAAAATATAGATAATTTATACGCATTTGAAAATATGGTTTCCAGCATTCAAACTATAAAAGGATATTTAAGAATGAGAGAAAAAAATTATTCGAAAAAAGACTTTACCCAAATACCTTTCTGTTAAAAACTCACCTTCAACATGGTATTACAAGCTTCCACAATCTACCAGTTTTTCAAACAAAATGTCCTTTATGCAAAGAAGATGCGATGCTGAGCAAAAACCAACGAAATACAAATAGTTCGCTTGTATTGTTTCGGACTTTCGATGTTAATCACGAACGCTTTCTTTGGAATGTGTCAGTTTTTTGTAATTTTTTGTCGTTGTTGCCAATAGAGAAATTCTATATTTCACAGACGGAATTCAAAATTCAGTTAAGGGCTTGTACACATGCCTGCATGTTTGGTACTGAATAATAAAATAGAACGATCAACGCAAGGCAGAAACTCCCTGGTTAAATCCAAAGTACTTACTCTAACCAGAAATAATTCGTTGCATCTTCTATGTTCTGAGGGAGTAAATTTCAAAATATTGTTATCAGATACGTGAGCTGTTGAAAAAATAAGATGAATGTTCAAATTTCTCATGCAACGCACATTTGATTAGCGATTTTTTTCATTTTATATTGGTACACTCATCTCGAACATATGCTCGCCAGTTTCAGCTGTTCAGCATGTTTAGTTTGTTGGCGAGAGACATAAAAGTTACAAGTGTTTTGCGCCTTCGGCGATTTAATGCTGTAGAAAAAAATGGGTCAAAGAATATGAACTAAAGTTTGTGTTAAATGGAATAAAGGACTCAAAAACACTCGAAATGTTGACAGTGGCAAACGGTGATTGTACTCTGAGTCAGTCCCAAATTCAAACATCAATAACTCCGCAATCGGTTATCATAATTCAAAAACGTGAAGGTCATTGTATAGAGAATATAAGAAAGTGAAGTCACTATTGGCTTTTTCAAGATGTACTGAAAAAAATTTCTTTCTATATAACCGTTGTCCGACTTGTTCGCAATAACAAAACAACTGAATGATTTCAGCATATATTTTTATTAAAATCAATAAAATAAAAGCTTCATTTGGAGAACATATTTCAAGCCAACCATTAATATTTTGCGAAATATATTCTTACAAAAAAGCAGTTCAAATTGAACAGTTTCAACTTATTTCACTTGTTTTTCAACCAATCGAAATTATTCATGAATATGATAAGTATTTACAATACACCACGTATAAATATCATGATAACATAAACTTCGAATGACCAATTCCAATTTTGTGATGAAACATACGCTTGTTATAAATAAATGCAACACACATATATAAACAGAGAAAATATATAGGTGAATATTCATTCATATACAGAAAGTTGAATTTTTATAGAATCCAAATTTACAATTTTAGTTTGAATGAAAAATCTGGTTTTTATTTCGTCTTATACATTATCGAAAATATGAAGAAGAATTAATATATAATTTTTTCAACCATTAATTTATTTATCCTTTTCACTCGTCATTTCATGTTTGTGTTCAGTATTATATAAATAACTAATAAATAATAATCCATATTTATCATTGTATACAACATCAAAATTATTTGAATTGAAGGGGTTAGGAGTGATTAATTTTTGGGAAAGAAAGTTTTTGGCTCTCTACTACTCCATCTTGATACAAAAAAAAGGATGAGGGAATCTTCCAAAGAAAGGAAGGAAGTATCAAGATGGAGTAGTAGAAAGCCAAAAACTTTCTTTTATCAAAATTATATAGCAATATTATGTATCAGTATCTATCAGTATATCAGTATCTAATTTTTTTCATATATTCTATTGAGGAACCAATCTTGCAAAATTCATAACGGTTTCAAACGCTTATGTACCACTGAGGTTTTATTAAGGAGTGATATAGCATTTCGAAAAGGAATTCCCAAAAGTTATTTGACGAACCTAAATTTCAAGAGTAAACTTCCTAATTTTTCAGAAAGAAGGGTAATTTGTATATTTCACATTTACCGATGAGCATTCGTAAATATTTTAATGGAATTATCATATTGAATTAAATCAATCCTGGTTTCAGGTATCTGTTTGGTATATTATGATAGTACGATATATTCTATACGATTTTCATTGAGAAAAAGTCATCTATATGAATATAAAATGAAAGTGGGCCTAATATAGTTCCTTGGAGTATTCTATATTCAAAAATGTTTGGTTGACTCAGAGTTATATTGAAATGTTGAGTTCTACAGTCTAGATGATTCAGAAAAGTTTCTTGGAATGATATAGTTTCTAATTCCTTTATAGTAATTTATGTGACACTATCAAAAACTTTCGATGAATCCACAAATTTTACTACAGTTGACAATGTTTTATCTGTCACTGAAGTGACAAATTGCATATTGGGTAGATACATTCTACTTGAAACCAAATTGTGTATTGGAAACAATTTCGAATATACTCAAAAAAATTTCTATTATGTAGGTACTCTAAAATGTTCTCAAAAATTTCAGCCAGAAAGGAAAACAATGTTGTGTGATTTTTAGTGAAACCAAATATGACCTATATCCTAACGATACTGAATGCAACTAAGAAAGAACATTTCATTTATTCCAAATTCATCAAGGTTGCAATATCTTTTCAGTAAAAACTTCACTATCAGGCAATGAAACAGAATATAAAGATTTGCTATCTGGAAAAAAATTAAAACAAATCTAAGCAAGTTCTCATGATTACGGACTATACACAAGTTACAAGAAGAACAAATTCCTCAATATTTCACGTCAGAGTTACTGATAATCCAATTTTTGTATTCTGTGAGTCTCGTGAATACCGAAGGAAGTCCAGCTGAACAATCAGAAGCGCCAAACGAAACAATTCCGACTTGGACACCATCCACCAAAACAGGACCTCCAGAATCGCCTTGGCAGGTTCCAACTGTACCTTTACCTGAAAAATTGAACGCATTTAAATATACAGGGTGTCCCTGGACTTCCTCTTTTCCTCTCGGGAATGTATAGATGGGGTCAAAATATCACCAGTACTTCATATAACTTTTTTTCCTAAAAGTCTTCGTAACCAAGTTACGGGCCCTCGAAGTTACAAAATGAAAAATGTTTTTCTTTGATAACTTTTCAAGTGAATATTCAAAATCATCCAAATTTTGGTAATTGACTAAACAAATGAATTCC